ATTTAAAAAATCTTTATAAACATGCACACCCATGTCTGTATGTACACAGGAAAGGAAAGGTCTAGAAGGCTTTCACTAAGGGGCTTTTTTTTTTTTTTTTGGTACTGGGGCTTGAACCCATGGGTGCTTTACCTCAATCCTTTTTATTTCTTATTTTGAGGCAGGGTCTCACTAAATTGCTAATTGGCTTACCAAATTACTGAGGCTGGCCTTGAACTTGTAATCCTCTGGCTTCAGCCTCCTGAGTCTCTGGGATTACAGGTGTGCATCACCACACCCAGCCAACATGTATTAATTTTTAAATGAAAAAAATAGACAACAACAACAAAGTAAACTCAGTTCAGGAAGCCTGGCATGAAAAGGGAAGCAACATGCTTGGGTGAGCTCAGTGGCCGAGCGCTGGCTTAGCATGTGCAAGGCCCTGAGTTCCATCCCCAGCACCTAAAAAAAGGGAGTTGGGGACGCTGGGCTTGGGCTCAGTGGTAGAGCGCTTGCCTAGCATATGTGAGGCCCTGGATTCAATCCTCAGCATCACATAAAAATAAATAAATAAAATAAAGGTATTGAAAAAAGGGAGGGGGAATGGATTAAAACCTTCCCCCCATTATCTCCTGTTCCTTTCCAGTTTTTTCCTGTTAACTTGTCCAAACAAAGAAATAATAATGCTATTTTCTACCTTCCTTTCTTAGGTTTGGGAAGACTGCAGGAATTTTTTTTTTAATATTTATTTTTTAGTTGTAGTTGGACATGATACCTTTATTTTATTTATTTTTATGTGGTGCTGAGGATCGAACCCAGGGCATCGCATGTGCTAGGCAAGCACTTTACCACTGAACCACAACCCCAGCACCCCCAAGGACCATTTTTATTATAGGTGGGAGACCAGGGCAGAGGACCACAAGATTAAAGGCTCCACCCAAGTCCCAACCAACAGCAAATGACCTTTAAGATCTATTCTGTTCATTCAGTCTTCTTGTTGACACAGATACTGGCTGGTTTCTTTGTGGTCCTTGTTCCCAGGTGGAACTAAAGCTCTTATCACCGAGGCATCAGATCTGTTGCCTCCTGAGGCTGCCAACCTACTTATTTGCTCTAGACCTGCCCAGCAAAAAGGTGACTCCCCCAGTTCTTACCGTGGGAATCCACCCTGGAATTTTTGTCCCTTTCTCCTTCCTTCTCTTTCATGTGTGCCAAGTGGTCCGTGGGGTGGAGTGAGACCTTGGGAGCAGTAGACCATGACAGAAAGAACACAGGCTTGGGAGTGAGACAGATTTGGCATAAAATCCTGCCTGTCATGATTAACTGCACCATGTTGGGAAATTCTCTCCCTCTCTCTCTCTTTCTCTTTTTTGATGGTGCTAGGGATTGAACCCAGGGCCTTGTGCATGTGAGGCAAGCATTCTACCAACCGAGCTACATTCCCAGCCCAGGAAATTCTCTTAATCACTGAAAATTTCTTAACTTTCTTGAACCTTGGCTTTTGCTTCAGCAAAATGAGAATAAAACCTGCCTCACAGGGTTGTGACAAGGAATATGCACGATGAAAAATGCTTAGTGGAGACGAATGCCTGTAATCCCAGTGATTTGGAAGGCTGAGGCAGGAGGATTACAAATTGGAGGCCAGACTCAGCAACTTAGTGAGGCCCTGGGTCAAAATAAATTAAAAAATAAAAGGCGGAGGTGTAGTTCAGTGATAAAGTACCCTTAGGTTCAATTCAAGAAAGAAAAGAAGGGAAAAGGGAAGAAAGAAGGGAGGGAAGAAGGAAGGAGAAAAATGCTAAGTATCTTAAAATGGTGAGGCTGACTTTGGAGGTAGCTAATATGATTATTAGGTGGCAAGAGATGGGCTTTCCCCGGTGGGGTGGGCAGAGCCCACCAAGGCAAAGTTTCAGTTGTCCTGTTTCTAACAGGGCTAACTTCTGCACTGGGCAAGGTGCCTAGGGTGCACAGAACTTTTGTGGGCCCGTGAAAATGCTTTTTAATGATTTTAATTTTAATTTCCTTTAAAATTTAAGAAGAAACAACAAATTTTAGGTTAAATAATATTAATATTGCTATATTGATTATTAACTATAGGTAGATAACATTATTATATCTTCCTTATGCCAAAGCAATTATAAAATACAATTTTTAACTTTTTTTTTTTTTTTTTGGATGAAGAAGCACACAAAGGCAAATGTGCCAAGGGCCAGAAAGGTTATACATCAGCCTCACTTTCGACCCCTGAAGGATATCTCCTTTAGGATATCTCTACAGTTTGGGCAGAGGGATATGGAGGAGGCATTGGCAGGAAGGGTGGAGTGAAGAGCTGGACCCTCGATCTCATCCTTCAAAGAATAAGCTGTCTTCCTGTAATGATTGCTATTTTTCTTCTCCTTCTTCTTCCTCCTCCTTCCTCCCTCCTCCTCCTCCTCCTCCTCCTCCTCCTCCTCCTCCTTCTTCTTCTTCAAACCTTTATTTATCTGTGTGGTGCTAAGAATCAAACCAGTGCCTCACACATGCTAAGTAAGTGCTCTACTACTGAGCCACCACCCCAGCCCCTGTGATTGCTATTCTTTTCTCCATTTCTGTTTCTGAACTTACATTTGCTTGGACCCTGTGGGTAGGTATTTATATGTCCTAAAATATCACTCATTGGGTCAAGAATGTAAATATCAACAAAACAACAATATAACAACTCAATTAAAAGATGGGTAAAGACTTGAACAGACACTTTCTCAAAGATATCCAGATAGCCAATAAGTAAACAAAAAGATGCTCAGCATCACTAATCATTCAGGAAGTGTGAATCAAAACCACCGTGAGATACTACTCACTGTGGTTTTTACACCCCGTATGACTACTCCAAAAACCCTAGAAAATAATAAGTGTTGATAAAATATGAAGAAATTGGAACCTTTGTACATTGCTGGTAGGAATGTCAAATGGAATAGCCACAAGGAAAAATGGCATGGTGGTTCTTAAAAAAAAAATTAAACATAGAATTACCACATAATACTGCAATTTCACTTCCAGTTATATATCCAAAAGAACTGAAAGCAGAGACTTAGACAGATATTTGAATACCCATGTTCAAAGCGGCATTATTCACAATAGCCAAAAGGTAGAAGCAACCCAAGGGTCCAACAGAAAAATGGATAAACCAAATGTAGCATATACATATGATGGACTATTACTCAGATTTAAAAAGGAAGGAAATTCTGACAGATTCTACAACATGGATGAAGCTTTAAGGCATTATGCCAAGTGAAATAAGCCAGACGTAAAAGGACTAAAATTATATTACTCTATTTATATAAGGTATACAGAAGAGTCAAATTCATAGAAATAGAAAGTAGAATGGTGGTTGCCAGGGGTCAGGAGAGGAGAGAATGGGGAGTCAATGTTTAAACCGGGATGGAGTTTCATTTGGGAAGATGAATGGATGGTGGTGATGGTGGCACAACAATGTTTACACTTAATACCACTAAAGTATACACACAAAAATGGCTAAATGTTAACACTTGTAGTATTTATATTTTACCATATATTTTTGAAAAGGAAAAAAGAAAAAAAATGTAAATAGTTCCCTTTTGCTCAGCTCTTAACCAGCCATGCCAACTGCCCAAGTATCACCTCTTTTCCCCCATGGGAAAAAGTCCTGTTCATTCTGGAAGTCCTCTGTCCTCTCCTGCTGAACACTCTCCTGGAAAAGCCCCAGTCTCTATAGCTTCACACATGGCACTACCATCATCTAAATCATGTATTTAGATGCATCCCTTTTTGCCTGGACAAACACTCACATCCTGACAAGGATGCTCAGATCTCTTTCTCACTGAGGGGTCTCAGTGGATTGAGCTAGACTTTTGCTCATTTTTCCTTTTTCTTAGCCTTCTCACCAGACAACTACAAGTCTGAACTGTATTCATCACCATTCATAAGAGACACTGTCTTGGACTTCCCTGGGGGTTATCATTTGCCCATTTTCATATCAATAAACAGGAATGTTGGTTCTAATGACAAATGAGACTGTGCATATGAAAATGAAGGAATATAGGCCAAGCAGTTCTTCCTCTCTCACCCTGTCTAGCAAAAAGCAATCAACAGCGGGGTGCAGTGGTGCACGCCTATAATCCCAATGGCTTGGGAGACTGAGACAGTTGCCAGACTTGGCAACTGCAAGGTGCTAAGCAACTCAGTGAGACCCTGTCTCTAAATAAAATACAAAATAGGGCTGGGGATGTGGCTCAGTGGTTGAGTGCCCTTGAGTTCCATCCCCGGTACCAAAAAAAAAAAAAAAAAAACCAACCGTAAATATCTCATAGTTTGTTTGACCCAGCCTGATTATAAAACGGAAGCTGAGAATCCATTTTCAGTGTCATGAGGTAGATCTCTGCCAGAGCATACTTCCAGGGAACAATGGGGTTTTGATACTGGGTCTGTGTAAGTGGAGTGGAATTAGAAGATAGAATCCCTTTCCAGGGAAAGGTGGGTTTCTAACTAGTACTCAATGTTACTAGAGCTTTCTGGATACTAGGCATTGTTCTAGGTGTTTTATATGGACTATCTCATTTAACTGGACAAAGAGCCTCATAAAATTTTCCTTATTTTACAAACCAGGAAACTGGAACTTAAAGGTTAGCTATACTATCTTTTGCCTCCCTATCTTTGAAAGGTTCCTTTTCCGTGTTTAATTATGGGGGTTGCTGCCACACTCTTTGCCACACCTATGAATGATTAGAGGAGTGAATGTAAAGCTGCTCATTTAGGCTTATAAAGAACTTCATAAAGTCAAGGTTATAAAGCTTTAAGTAGTAGGGCCAGAACTCTTCTGGTCCAGGAGACTTCAGAATAAAACTGCCCTAAGGGGCACACACTCTGTAGCCTCCTGCTTTCCAGGATGTTTTCTTGTGTGAGGCAAGCAGGGAGGGCTGAGGCCTCTGAGAATTCCAGGCCTAGTCTAAGGGTAGGAGAGGTAGAACAATTCTCTTGCTACTGGGTTAGGTAAGGCCTTCACCTACCTCCAGGAGAAGGCGTAGTCAGGAGGTCAGTCATTGCTGCCAAGGGTTAAGTACCTTGCAGGAGAGGCAGATCTGTAGGAAGAAGGAAAAAGTCAGTAAAGAGGTGGGTGGGCCTGGAGATTCCTTTGGTGCCAGGTTTTCTGGAGTCCCTTCCCCACTTCCTTTTTCCCTTACAGCTCGCTTGTCTTCAACCCTTCTCTTTGGGTCTCTCTGATTATCTCCTCGGGCTCCAGGTAACAATCTCTCTCCAAGAGCAGATCCGGGGTCCCCCGTATCTGGGGTGTGCCACCTTTGCGACCCGTTCACAGGGCCCCCAACGTTTACCTAAGAAACCTCTTAAGAGCCGAAAAAGTTAGGCAAAGTGTTGCAAATGCCAAAACTATCGGTACCTGGACTATCGGTACCTGGACTGCTACAGCCTGGAGTTTGGGCGGAGCCATCCACTAGGTGTCAGAAGAGGGCCGACAGGGTCAGGCCCCGCGGGGTGGGGACAGGGGGACCATCTGACACCGAGACAGGATGCAGGGGACCCCCAGATGCCTTTCGGCTGGTCTCAAACCCCGGCTTCTCCGTGCTTGGCCCGCTTCCCCACAGTCCTGCCTTCGTTGTCCAGTGCGCCGTCCGCGCACAGCCCACCGAACTCACTGGCGCGCCCTTGCCGAACCCCAACCTGTGACTCCCTCATCCAGGGACCCCCAGCAAACTCCGCCGACGTCGAAGGTCGTGCGTGGACCGTGAGGGTTGGGTGCTCGCCCCGGAGGGCCGCCGCGCCCCACCCCGCAGCCCTCCTGAGTTACCGGCATTCGGAAGGGCTCCTCGCGCAGAGGGGCGCCGGTGCGCGCCGGGCGGAGGGCCGTGCGTCCCGGTACGCCGAGCTGCGGCCGCCCTCGGTTTCAGTTCCTGCCGCGGCCGAGGTGACTGCCGAGTGAGTGTGGGCGACCGCGCTCGCCTAGCGCTCCCGCCTCCCCAGGTCCCCTCCTCCGCGTGCTCACCTTACCAGTCGGACAGGCTGCCCGGCAGGGCCCGACGCCGCTCCGCGGGTCCTTTTGAACTCGACGGGGGCGGGAACCGCAGAGATTCGCGGCGGCTCCGAGAGGCCGAGCGAGAGGGACGGGCGGAGGACCCCGCGCGGGAGGAAGCCGAGGACAGACGCGCAGAGTTAGCGGCGGAGGGCGGCCAGAGTGGGGGTGGGAGCCAGGCCGCCTGGGTGGGACAGGAAAAGAGGACAGAAACCGCCCTCTGCAGGTTCCCTCTGCCCGCCGGACCGCCTCTGCTCCCTAGGGAGGAAAGGCTGCCTTCCTTTCTCCAATTGTCACTGTGCTCTCCGTCCGGAGCCGCTTCCTCTCTCGCCCAGAGGCTCCAGAGCAGATGGGATCTGAACCCCCTGCTAACTGAGGTCCATCGGGTCTCCCCGGGGTTGACGTAATTTGAATTTTTCTGCAAGTGTGGAAAATTACTTATACCTGGTTTGCGTATCATTTATGCAAATTGTCTGGTGTCCCGAAACTTGGACTGTAAGCTAACTTAGGAGGCACACACGCGGATGGTGAGACATTGCAAATGAGGTAGTGTAGTGTGGAGGGTAAGAGTGGACTTTGGATTCAAACAGACCCAGTTCCGCTGCTTGCTAGCTGTGTGACTCTGGACAAGTTAACACCTCCAAATTCTGTTTCCTAGCAGACTTTAGGAGATTTGAAAGTGATCATTGCCTATAAAGCCATTTCACAACCACAGTTCTAGCATATGGTAAGCACCTTAATATAAATGTTAACTAGCACCATACGTTTAGCTCCCTTTTGACTCACTTCTTTGTGGCAGGAAATGTTCCCACATTAATCAGAGTACCTCAATGAGTAAGAGGATGTAATAGTATACAACACAGGCTGTGGAATTGGCTCTGCTGTGTAATTTTGGACAAGTTGCTTCTGTTTCATTTCTTTTTCCTGAAGGAATACCTGTCTCACCATAATATTACTGTGGGGATAGAATAAGGTAATTCATACAAAGCATTAGAGCCTTACCTGGCACATAGTAAGTGCTCAATAAACATTAGCTATTGTTATCCTGGCCACCCACTTAGAGTTGGACTTCTTGTAGTTATTCTGCCTTCCATCCCAGTGATATAGACTACTGTGCGTATTCCTTATTCCTTTAAGTTCTACAGATTTGAGAATCAATATTTATATAGATGATTAGAAAGACTGGTGCCATCAGGTTGTGGGTATTCATCTGGGGAATAAAGACTGAAAGTTTGAGAAAAAGGCATGAAGTGAGAAAAAAAATAGTAAAGCAAGAGTAATTGCTTTCATTCCTAAAGTGTTAGTTGATTTTAAAAAAAAAACAGGAGCAAAAAGAAGAAAAGGGGAAACAAGAAAAAGTTGATGAAATTCACTTCATATTTTTAAAAGGCAAGGCAATATCAGCTAGGAAGAAGTTCATGTGTAGGAAATGGTCAGTTCAACCAAGAACGACAACAATGTGTCATGTAGGCAAGTTGTACATTAGTTAATAAAAAGAAGTTCACCCTAGCTACCTCAGATAAGAAAATATCCAAGAGAAAAGGAAATTCAAACCCTAAGGGCTACATTCCAAAGGAAGACAATTGCTTGCATTTATTCTGGCTAACCAGTTGACCATGAATTGTAGGAAACGTTGGGATCTTTCTTGTATCTGGATTTGTCTCTCCTACAGCATTCTCTGTTAGCAAGTGGCCCAACTGACTCCCTACTGATTTTCACTTTCACAATTTTATTGATGGTTACTAATGATCTCTCATAAGTAGGATTTTTTTTTTTCTCTTTAAAATATAACCTTAAGGGGCTGGGGATGTGGCTCAAGCGGTAGCGTGCCTGGCATGCGTGCGGCCGGGGTTCGATCCTCAGTACCACATATAAACAAAGATGTTGTGTCCGCCGAAAACTAAAAAAATAAATATTAAAAAATAATTCTCTCTCTCTCTCTCTCTTTAAAAAAATAAAATATAACCTTAAAAGTTTTGCTCATACATGATTTTTTATTGCAGGCACATAATTCATTCTAAAAGTGTAAACATGCAGAAAAATAAGACCCCATATGCACCCAATTTGTTGTATTAAAAAAATTTATAGGGCTGGGGTTATGGCTCAGCGATAGAGTGCTCACCTAGCATGTGTGGGGCGCTGGGTTTGATCCTCAGCACCACATAAAAATAAAAGGTATTGTTTTGTGTCCTTCTACACCTAAAAAATAAATGTTAAAAAAATAAATAAAATAAAAGTATGGTATCCAACCGTAATGAAAAAAGATTTTTAAAAAAATTTGTAAGCGGTATTATGCTCTTTGATATATCTTATTAAGCCAGAATATGGCATATTTCTAGGGTTCTCTGTATGACCTAGCCTATCAATATTTTCCTTTAGATTGCTAGAGGGCAGGGACAGGATGGTGAACCTGCAAGTAATTCTATATAAAGATGCTTACAGTGGCTGATGAATGAAGTCTCATGGGGTGGTGAGTTTCCAATGTTCTCTGAGGATTAAATACTAAGCCTGAGAAACTACAGCAGCTATCCTTTTATCAACAGATTTCCAGGGACCTCAGAATGGAGGACAAGAAGACACTCATCTCCACCTAGTTCTTTTTTTTTTGAGAGAGAGAGAGAGAGAATTTTTAAATAGTTTTTAGTTTTCAGCGGACACAATATCTTTGCTTGTATGTGGTGCTGAGGATTGAACCCGGGCCGCACGCATGCCAGGCGAACGCACTACCACTTGAGCCACATCCCCAGCCCACCACCTAGTTTTTATTTCATTTATTTATTTATTAATTGATTGATTGATTGTAATGGGGATTGAACCCAAGGGTGCCTAGCCACTGAGCCACATCCCCAGTCCTTTTTAGTATTTTAGAAGTAGGGTGTTGCTGAGTTGTATGGGGCCTCACTAAATTGCTGAGGCTGGCTCTGAACTCTCAATCCTCCTGCCTCAGCCTCCTGAGCTGTTGGGATTACAGGAGTGTGCTGTTGTGCCTGGCTCCACCTAATTTTTATACTCATCTCCACCTAATTTTATTGGCTTTCAGCCCATTTTGTGCTGCTGCCAGGATGGCAGTATTCTAAGCTGCAGCCTTTCCCCTGGACGACGTTAACAATTTGTAAATCAAGGGAAATCATTTGATACCCAACCAAACTGTTTACCTTACACAAGCATACGGGCTATTTCCCTGCCTCCTAAGAGCCTTCAATAGGGTTGTTTTCAAATGAAGTATCAATCTCAGAACTTAGTGAAAATTTCCACTTCATTTGCACCTCTGTTGTAGCAGTTACTGCTTCTTTCTCCCACTGGGCGGTAAATCAGTCCCTAGAAGTCTGCTCTGGAACATTCTCCAAAGAAGATCCATTTCCTGGGGAGATGAGGACCAGCAAAGCCCTGGAGACAAAAGACTTGAGTTGGATTTTGCCAGATGAACCTGTGAGGGGCTTGCACAGGGAGAATCCTGTATTCGTAGCTTTCCCTCTACCCTTCCATTTCCCTGAGTGTCACTCCCAGCAGTGAGTCTGAATCCCAAGGGAGGGGCTGTTTTCTAGTAGGCAGTAGGGCTTTTACATTTTTAAAAACCCTCCTCTCCACAGGGCCATACAACCTCTTCCCATTTACTGCTGTACATGGCAGAAATCCTTTGAATGGTTACTCTTTTTAAAGAATACAATATCAGATTTTAGAAAAATGACTACTCAGGGTTTTGATTCACTTAGGCCCATGGAGATGTGGTTCAAGGTTCTTCCTAAACTCACCATCATGGGTGTGAGTTTGCTTGTCTGGGAGTGGCCACTGCATACATCCACAAGTTCCCAGAAAGGGGCAAGGAAAAGGGGCTGCTAGTTACCCAGATCAGTGAAATCTGAAGGGAAGAGATAGGCACATCTCTGGAGTTAATTGTTGCTCAAAGCGTTTGGAAGCTTTTTCCTGACTAATGAAAAATAACTCAGTTATGGTCATCTACACTTGCTAGAAAGCTATGCAGCATATTATGTAGTATGCAGTCAGTATGTTATGTAATGCTTGATAAAAATAAAGTGGAAAAATTACTCCTAAATAGAAACATGTATTACCACCTCCCTTACAGTCACATCTACTGGAAAATTCTACAAGTATTTCAAACTGCAGTTCTTTTTTATATATATATATTTATTTAGTTGTAGATGGACATAATACCTTTATTTACTTATTTTTAGGTGGTGCTGAGGATAGAACCCAGTGCCTCACTTGTGCTAGGCAAGTGCTCTACCACTAAGCCACAACCCCAACCCTCAAATTCCAAATCTCTTTAGGGCACACATAGGATTTTTTTTTTTTTTTTGGTACCAGGGATTGAACCCAGGGGCACTTAACCACTGAGCCATATCCCCAGTCACCTTTTATATTTTATTTAGAGACAGGGTCTCCCTGAGTTATTTAAGACCACTAAATTGCTGGGGCTGAATCCATGATCCTCCTGTCTTAACCTCCCAAGCCACTGTACCCAGCAATGGTTTGTTTTTATAGCTTACTCAACGCATAATTGATACATAATAAATTGCACAAAGAATACACAATTTGATAAGCTCCAACACATGTATTTATCCATTACCATATCACCAAAATAAAAATTAAGACCATTTCTATCATCCCTAAAAGTTGCC